ATATTTATTCGTACAAATGGTTTTTTGTGGTCGAATCTCGTCACAAAGACTTGATTTTTCTAATGGACAGGGAAGGAAACTGGAGCCCAGATAGCGGAACCAACTAAGTAGTTCTTTACATCGTTGAGCTAATCCGATGTTTGGTAAACAAGTTTGACGTTTTAAGTGAACATCAAACTTGTACAAAAAGGTACATAAAAATGTCCTTCGACGTGGGTTGGGAAAGTAACTGTCTGTTATAAAAAGGGCTTGTTAATCTTTTTAAACATCAAAGTAAAATGTTTGATATTTTTCATTGCATTTTTAACCATGTTCAAACCAATTAATTACTATAATCAGTTGTACATAAAAGTATATAAAACAAGATCCATATTGTACAAGTATATAAAACATGTTGTGAAATCACGGCATTATGTGACCTTTAGTCTAGTGCATTCCCTTATCACAAACGCTGGGATTTCATCCAGCCATTGTTAGCTGAGCTGTCTTGGCAACAGATGCGAACTCCCGTGCAGGAAAAGTGTGTTGCAAATAGGGCTGTTTTAATCCACCCGAGAAAATGTTTGCACGAATATAACAACAAAAAAAGCTAGTTAATAATATACTTATTTTTATATTTCTTATATCAATAACCTCAAACCAAATTTACCAATCCACCATTGATAGATTAGGAAAATCAGCAACGCACCAAACCGCAGCGGAGCTGTAGAAATTACTTAGTCAGAACAAGCGGCTATTACTCTAGCATTAACTGCTTCAACAACTCGCCGACCATGGCTCATGCATAATGGATTGTATACTTAGAAACGAGACGTGGCCAAGAACTAAGCTGGGATTGATCATCATTTAACAATTAGTCCTGATAAAACTTTCGGCATAATTAGAATTTCAAGTAGTTAGGCGAGTTAGAATTTACAATGAGGCCTTAGAGGAACCACCAATAAAACATGCTGCTTATACTGTACAGGGTGAATAAAAAGTCAAGACCCCCCCCCCCCCACTAATATTTTTCCAAGTAAGTATACAGAGATATCCTTTTGGTGGTCGAGCAATCTTAGCAGGAAGTTTCATTTTATCATTTTGAAATTTTTGAGAAATTTTTATCATTTTATCACACTCAAAAATTTCAAAATGAAAAATATTAGTGGGGGGGGGTCTTGACTTTTTATTCACTCTGTATAGTAGTAGGAAAAAGCATGTGACTAAATGGAAATAGACAGAGGTATAAAATCTGTTTCAATTAATTTAAAGCAGGTCAGTAGCCCATAAAACCAATTAGTTTTAGGTGTTGGTTGTACTATACAGAAGCAGTTATTAAAGATGCCTTACAATACAACATGGAAATATATAACACTTAATTTATGATTATTTTCAAGACAAATACAAAAGACAATGATTTTTTTAATTATCGATTTCTACCTGTCCCACTAGCCATCAACCAGCCCAATGCAAAACTAAAAAAATCAATAGTCAAAACAATAATATATTTTATACAATTGTTATTTCTTGTAAATATTCTACGGTAACGAAGTTATTAGTTTTTAAAATGCGTTATTACGCGATATGTTTGTATGCTTTATGAGATAATGCGTTTAGATTTTAATTAGTTTGATTATAATACATGTTGTATAGTAGTTTGTTGGAATAACAGTCCTTTACGAATAGTCGAATATATTTTTTTTTTATAAAACAATTCACATAGCAAAAAATATTTCCACCGTATATTTACGTCTTAATCTCACTGTATATTATTTCTCCAGTAAAAACTGCAAACTGTTGGGTACCATTCATTCCCCCATCTAGGTGCTACAATATTGTAACCTATATTCATGTAGTATCGTAATGTATTTTTAAGTGTTTCTAAAATACAAGCAAATAAGTCAGTTTTAAGTAGTTGGGACTCAAGTGCACTAAAACAAGTAATTAGGGGATGTGACTCGTTTCACCTCACCTTGGTACTAACATGCAATCAATTGAATTTGGACTTAGTATATTTAAATAATTTTCCCAATGTAATACACACTAAATAAACATCGTACATCAAATTATCTATATTTAATCATTTATATCTAATGATAGTAAAATTGTTTTAGTTATAAGAATAATTTGTTCCAGTTAAAATAAGAAATTAAAAAGGTCTTGTTTGTAAAAACATACTCTATACAATATGTAAGAATTGTTTTTTTTTTTTTCATTTTCGACCCTAAATACACAAAAATTCACAATTTATATCCAAACCATTTTGTATAGTTTAAAAAACTAAATAAGTTTTTTACTGAAGCGTTATTGTATGCCTAACGGTTACAGAGGTATTCAAATAATTTATAATTTAAAATTCCCATGTAAATTTTATGGAGAATAAATTAACTGTTGTAGTTTGCTTGTTTATGGATAAATGTTGATCAAATTTGGCAATTTTGTTTATTTCATACTAAGCTATCAAAAGTTCAATAAAGAAAAACACCTGATACCTTCTCTGTATCAGCAAACCTTAGTACTCTACATTAAAATTTATGTTTTTTAAATAGCAAATTAAACTGATAATTTTAAGAGAATATTTTAGTAGAAATTCAGCCAGGAAAATATGAATTCGCTTAGTCTGCACGTTTGCTGCGGTGGGGGTATTAATCATTAACCTATTTTTAAAAACATTTCATAATATTTGTTTACAATATGAAGATTGAGTTTCACTTATATAGAATTCTCAATATACAGGAAATGTTGTCGATAACTGTATTAGTTAAATGCATATTAAAATGCCAAAAATAACATACTTACCGAGGCTATCGAGTGGCAAATCAAAATTTAGTTAGGTTTAATTACTGCAGAAGCTGATTAAGTGGTAATTATTTTGTTGGAAAATTGAGTATGCTGATTGATTTCACTGTGGTTGATTATGTACATAAAACTTGTGATTTAAATAATTGATTTATTAATAGAGAATCGATTTTACTGTAGTTTCAATTATTTTTTTTAACACATATTTTGCAAGGTACGGGAATTTGCGTTTGCTACCAATTTGAAACGATGCGATTGCCATTAACACCGTAGGCCAGCTTCTGATGAGCTGCGATTTACTCATTTATAACATGGAAACCGTATAACTAAACCACTACCTGAAAATGTAAGAATTGCTTCGACATGAACAACTTATAACGAACTAACTGTGGGGTATGAAACCTTGATCGAAGTAATGCAATTCGGAATAAATTAGTCGGATTGACAGCAGAGACTAATTGAAACAATTTAGAACAATATGAATTTGTGATTTTGCTTCAAAAAGTTGAATGCCGGTCTTTTTTTAGAAAAACCCGACGTATTAAATTTTAAAACTACATCCTAAAAACCCTGGTTTCCCCCCGGCAACGCCTTACAAAACATTTAACTATTTCATATTGCTAATTCTGACTACATAACAATTTACTACTTATTTACTAATTACCTATCGAGGTTATGTAGAAGTTTCAGAAGTTGGACTCTGAGGTACCGTAGGCTAAAAAGTTAGGAAGACAGCGATTGGGTCTGTCATTTCGTTCTGCTCGTTTTGCAGGTGCTACTGGTTGTATCCAGGCTGCAATTGATTTCAGCCAGTACATTCTGATTGCGCGTCAGCCACAGAAGAGAATTTAAAAACTTCATGATTCGTACGAATAATTATACTAGCCTTAAAATTATACAACGACAATTTTACCTTCCTATTGGAATACCAAAGTTGGTTTGGTCTATCATCATTAGTGTTTAGAGATAGAATCAAGTGTATGCAATTTTCGGTAAATTTATTCCTTTCAAAAATATACTATAAGCTTATCATGAATAACATGTTCTATTGAGTGAAAATATTAAGAGTTTTGTTGACTGAAATAAACTCTGCATTGTTTTAGGAAAAAAAAAATAAAAAACATAGTTTTGTAAAACAGCTGTAATTTTATATTTAATTGAAAAAATAAAACGGATTTCAAGCATTTGGAGAAAAATATATGCATCACCAAACCAACTAACCGTTTATATGTTTAAGAAAAGGAAAATTGTTCTATATTATAGTTACTGATAATTTCTTCTGGTTTAGCAGCATGTGAATATAATATGTTAGGTTTGTGAGGTAAATAATATATGGATATAATTTATGATTAGTTATTTAATAACGTAATTATAAATTTTAACTCCATATGTACGTTTAAGTATATTGTAATTCATAAAGTACAGGCACTAATGTGTACTAATACTGACGACGGTAACACAACCATCAAGATGATCAGAATAATTATTGCTTTACATGAAGGAAAATGTTACACGATAAGTGATAAATTAATGATCCTAAGTGAGTTTTAAAGGGTGTTAGTATATTACTATTTGAATCCTCATATCAATTTCAAGTATTACGCCATTAAAATATAAAACTTTTTTGCAAGGAAACGCTAAAAACCTTTGTCCTGTAACTATCTAAAGTCAACCCTTTGTCACACCATTAACTGATAGTATATTAAAACTATTCCAAGCATTCGAATTTTTCTTATTAGTAAAAGAGTTTTTGCAAGTTTTACCTTCGAGCTTGGTTTTAAACATTAACTGAAAATGATGTAACAGTATGGACTTAACTTTTTTCAAAATGTTGATTATTTAAAATTATCAAACATTGTTTCTATGCATTAAAAAATTCATCACGATTTAAAAAACGTGTTAGAGGATTTGGAACTGAAATTGAGAAAATACACAATTTACGACAAAACAAATACGACATTTTTTTATAATAATTCTATCATTACGAGTAATTAATTCAAATACTTATAAAACTCGCTCATGAGACAAAACATATAATACTACAATCCACAAAAAGATGATAATTTAAAATGTAATCTTGTATTCAATATAACGGATAAACGATGACCCAAAATAAAATGCTGAGCCAGACTTTAAGAGTAGTTTCAGCACTGTGCTGCAGAGATGCAGCATGTTGGCGGCTGCGCAACACCTGAAGCTGGCTCAGCATCCGGCAGTAGTGAGCTGAGCGGCGCCGAGTCAGCACTGCTTCAGCCAACTGCTAGTGTACACCGGGCTAAGTGTATCTACGATATAATGTGACCGAACCTGTTGAGGATTATTGCTGATTGTAAAGGTAAAATATTTTGCTGCTTATATAACTCTAATAAGTAATTAATTTTGGGAATTGTACAGAATGCTCGATTTTTTAATTTGCTCGATAAAAATGTTTTTAAGTTTGAAAAAAATTAATAATATTTTGTGAAATTGGTCAGTTATCCAGCGTATGCATTTTTAATTAGAATATGAATAATTCACAAACCTAATTATAATATAACTAAGCCGGACGGAAACTCCTGATTTTCTTACACGTTATTGAGGAAATACTTGGTACATAAAACTGTTGTTTAACTACGTTTATTACTCGATAGGAATTAATAAAACGTGATACTTTGTATGTAAGAAAACACGCAAGGATATTTCTAAAAATAATTTTACTTTCTTTTATATACATTTCTTAAACGAAAAAAATCAAAAAAATTATGAGTACATATTTATGATCTATAATTTACATGAAAGTAAAAATTTTCTAAATGTACATTACGTGTCTACCTTCAATGTTTTTACCCATAATTTCTTTACAATACAATAAAATCGGATATATTAATGGGACTTAAACTGTATCCTGACTAATAGACTTACAAACAATTGAATATACAGTATAACATATGTTTTTTTTTATTCCTACAACATAAAAACATTTTTGTGGGTTATGATGTGAAATAACTTAATAAGAAATATATTGAAACAATCAAATCTATTTGAAGAATCGACGACTTACACAGTGTTTTAGCGAATTTCCCATGTAGGGAATACGCTATTACTGCATGTCTCATGGTAAGACCTAGACCCGGGACCGATTTACTTTTTCGTTTTGAGGTCCCCAAATGCCTAAAACACCATCCGTTCAAATTCCCACACATCTATATATATATATATATATATATGTTTCCGTTAGCGCGATAACTCGAGCAAAAATAATCTGATTTTGATGAAATTTGGTAAAAACGTGAAAAACCTACGTTTATTCGAACGTAACTAAAAACAAAAGATTTTTAAATTTCTTGTTAAACCATTTTTTAGAGCTTAAAAAGAAATACCAGTAATTTAGTATATTGAAGCGCTGTTGTACCCCTAAGCGTAAAAAAGGGCAATTAAAAATTCCCATGTTATTCTTAAGGAGAAAATGAAAATTTGTTTTTGTTTACTTGTTTATGGATATATGTTGATAAAATTTGGCAAATTTATATTTTTCATCCTATACTATTGACCTATGGTCAAAAACGCGTTTTACATTCCCCGTAGCAGCAAACCTAAGCACTTATTAAATCGAATGTTATATGTATTGGGAATAAATATGTCATTTGTATGGTAATATTTTAGTAAAAATGTAATCAGACAAGTTGAAATTCGCTTAGTCTGCAGGTTTGCTGCGGCAGGGCTATTAAAATATACATGAACAATGCTCTTTGACAAGAGAAATTTGATGGTTTAGCTAAAAAGACATCAGTTTAAAGTATGTTTTCACATTGCCATTTATGTGGATATTATAAGTTATCATCTTACCTACTCACAAAGGAACTATATTTATACTATAATCCACCTAAAAGCTTCTTAAGTTCTTATCAAAGCCAAGGATTAGTAGCACTTCAATGTCAGAGAGTTAAGTACTGTTTATAGAAATTAATCCAAATGTGATGTTTGCTTTTTATGTGCACAATAAAACATAAATCAATTACATAAATTAAATAAACAATCAAAAGATTATACTAATAAAAATATAAGTTATATTAGGTATAATTAGGCCTATGGTAAATAAATTATTGGATTTAAATTATATACGAAAAAAATATACTATATTTAAACATAATATTTTGCAATTTTACGGAGGTAGTATTTCTAAGGAACAATAGTGTGTTTTTTACTAACGAACTGTTGAGTTTTATTATTACCATGACCTATTAATAATTTAGATCATTCCGTTTTAAGTATGGCTTAATACAAAAAAAATAATTGTACGGATTTTAGAAGTGTGTATACTGTATAAATTTAATATTCTTCTTCTTAAAACGAGTGACTTCAAAAAAAAACTCACAGTCCCAACTCGCGCTGTTAATTGTAATTGTAACATCTTGTGGTACATGTGTGTGCATTTTATGACATGCATTTTATATTATTTTACTTGCATAATGTCTGAACAATATTGGTTTTTAACACGTTCGCTGCTACGGACGTTCCGGAACGTCAGCCGGGCCACGGCGCCAGGAGCTAAGAACGTTCCAGAACGTCACCGTTCATTGTTGTTTAACGTTGCTATGGATAAGCCAGCACGTCACAAGCGTTCTATATTTCTTTGCAGCTCGTGGGGACGTACTTTTCTGACAATAAAAAATATAGTTTCCCAAATCACCACCAGGGTTGTTTGGAACAGGGCTTTGTTTTACCTCTTTCCTGCTAGATAGCGACACTACTTTACCGACTGTAACCTGGGTAGTGCTGCTATCCATCAGAATCACTTAGTACTATATCAAATGCCAGTATTATTGCAGAACATTGCCACCCAGTATAACCACTGTTGTTTTTACTGTAATTCAGTGTATCGGTGGCAATGTCACGCAGCGGCCGAGCGTTAGTTCAGCAACTGGCGCCGTCCCGGCATCTAGCGCTCAGCAGCGAACGTGTTAAACCTCATTTTACAAAATCTGTAAATACGGGCTAATTGACTTAGCCTCCCAAATCCATCATCATATGGTGATAAGTGATTGTATTCTAATCACATTCTCCTGAAAAATTATTTGAATGATAAATACATATAATACCATTGTTTTATTTTATAAACATATGGTAGTAGCGTATATTGTGGCATTATTTTACAGCTCGTGACATCTAAGCTGGCACTTGGCCTATCGCTACTAGTACCTATTTCAAAAACATTATGTCCCGCCATGCGGGTTGCATCAACTGTCCTCGCGACCCATATGAAGGCGCTCAAGTACAATGCAAGGGGAGTCAACCCCGTGAGGCAGCGGAAATGTTTGCAGTCTTTTCCCTACCTCCACCCTCCTCCCGCCTACACTGCCCGCGCTAGGCCAAGTGCCAGCTTAGGTGTCACGAGCTGTACATTTCATCATTTTATACCATCGTAACCCGGAGCATTTAATCCCAGTTGCTTTACTAGAAATAATTATGTTTTGCCTTCAACTTAAATTATAATAATGTATAATAAAAATTCTAACAGCTTCAATTATATTTATGAGAATAATATTTTATGGTTAAGTGAAATTACGGGTTTAAAATCAAAACTTGCCTTAAGAGTTAATTTTTTTATTGTTATAAGCACGTGGGCTTTCTAAAAGATAAACATGTATACAACCTATAAAACTAGTATACATAATTAATATTTGTTGTGCTATTGTTAAAAGTGGTTATAAAACCTTTGGATTAGCGTGGTTTCCTAGAGATTCAATAATTTTAAAACCTTTTTTATTAGCTTGCTTTATTGTCCGGTACAAATTTTGCAATTGATATAAAACCAACGTCCCGCTGAGCTAAATACATGAAACTTGAAACATAGCTCACAAATGGGTGACAACGCAATATTAAATCATTTTATTTTCATAATTCCTTGGACTACGCCCCATGGGCTTGTTTTTATTAGCTCACCTTCTAAATATAAAAAAATATTTAAAAGTAAAGATGAAACATCTGATTACAGATAATAATGTTTTGGTTATGTATTAACAGGCCATATAAACTATATTTAACATATTTACACATTAAAGACTAAAAAGTAGAAAATAGTTTCTAAATATGTGGAAAGAATAAGGACTTATAAGATTTAAAACGAAAAATGTTGGGTGTATGCAAAATATAACTACAGTTCAATAAGTGAAGATAATTACGCCCCACGTTTTTCATTTTAAATCTTACAAGTATTTATTCTCTTCGCATATTTATACATTATTTTCTACTTTTTAGTGCGTTTAAAAACGTGGCATTTCTAAAAAGTATTTTTATTCATAGATTATTTTTCTTGTCTGTTCACGTTGCTTCGTTTTCCTTACCATCCCAACTCTCATGCCCTTAACACCTGACGACTACCTCTTATTGTACTACATCTTTAACTGATAGCCCAATAACAAATAGTACGAGGGTTTAGAAATTTATCTAGCTTGGAATTTACCCGACAATTTTTCATATCTTAAGGCGAGAACTATACTCATTAGACTACTTAAATAAGTTATTCTAATAATAATTTTACAATAGGGCTTATGCTACAGCCCTGGAGTCTGTCTATCTACTATTTGACACTATGAAGATTATGGATAGCTGAAGAAACTGTTGTAAGTGATAACAAGTTATTTAAACGTATTATTGTAAGAACAAATAGACAATATTAGGGATAAATACTATTTAAATAATATGTATAACAAATAGTAATGTAAAAAAATATTATGCCATGAAATAAACAAACGTTGAAATAATATGTAAGCCGAACCAAGTATAATACTATCTAAAATCCTTTAACAACTTTTAATATTACATGTATATTTTTGCGTTTATTTGATTTAAAACAAATAAAACATTTGTTGAGATAACTCCAAGGATATTTTTCAGTTTCAATTGTGTTACAATTGGAATTAAAATACAGCACAAGCGTTGATTTAAATCCTCTTAACAATGTTTGTTTGATCGAAAGCAAAGTGCTTGTTCAAGTGAATTTGTAAAACAATGCTGTTGTGACATTGCATAGCACTTTAATTATTTTAATTATGATTTAAAACCATTTGTAAAAGTTTGAACTCAGTAAAGTTACAAAGGATAAAATTATATTGCTTTCTCAATTTGATCTTCAGGCAGCAAAGCAAATTGTTTTTCCGGTGAAGCTTTCCCTACATTTTACTTGGAATATGTAATATATTTGTATTACTTCCAGTAGCTAAAGTTCCAGGAAATCACAATTTTAATTATTTGGATAAAAGGAAACCTTTTCCAAAGTCACGTAAGAGAGGTTATACTTCTTAACCTCTTTGTTGTATTTAGCATGTCGTTTGTATACATGTCGAACTCTTAGCA